ATTCCACTCTATATGCATCCGAAGAAGTGGGCTGTAGTCCACGAAAGCTTATGCTCTAATAAATTTGTTAGTCTCTAAGGTGCCACAAGTACTCCTGTTCTTTTTGCAGAGACAGACTAACACGGCTGCTACTCTGAAAGGAATAAAACAGAACATGTAGAAAAACCTTACTGAAAAAGCCATCAAGACTGCCTGAGTAACTATGTGAAGAGAGATAAGAGACAAAAAATCAGATTAAGAGAGCAGAAGGAACCAGCAGCGATGGTGAAATGGATGAAATCCTAGCTCTGTTGAGTCATTGGGAATTGTGCCATTGACTTCAATGGAGTCAGGATTTCACCCTGATCTTTTATTTTGCTCTCTTGCAACAAAAATCTCAGATTTAAAATGTTTATTAAAGCTAATGTTAAAAGATTATATAATACACAGGTTAAGAAAAGAGTGTCTGTACATCTCAGTATAACTACATACCAGCCGATCCTTAGCTGCCAACTTTAATTCCACCAGAAGACTTTGTAAAGCAAAATAACTAATTAACTTGTAAATTGATACTTCTGCACTGTTCTGAAATTACCTTAAACCCTAGCCTTTGCAACATATTACAGCAAAGGGGAAAGAAACAACTACAAGTCCTATAATCCTGCCTCACATTAAATATTCAGGCGCTCATAACCAACTATTAAAGTCAGCACATATTATTTGGAAAGACATTGACTGAGGATTTAATTATTTGGAGATAACAAGGGAATTTCCTTGTTAATTAATTTGGAATAATTATTAATGTTAATAGTTAAGTAGTGTAATCAGCTTTTCTGATTTATTCTGAATTGGTTAAATAAATCCCAGTGACAGGGAAACAATTTATAATGAGTAAACTGTTAAAATCCTGAGACTGGTTTAAAATAAATGGCGTGCAATGTAACAATTCTGTGAAAACCAAAAAATAAATATTCTCTCTCGGTTCAAAGCAATAAGGTTACTTGCAAGAAGTGTTTTTGCTGTAGGATAATTTAAAATTGAATATTAAGGTATTATTAAGAAGTAAAAAATAAGAACATTTGTAAAAGGTCATTTTCTTGCTAAAACAAACAAGATAGCTTGTTGATTCCTAAAGATAAGTCGCTTGCAATTTCCTGACTTCATTTCTGAAGAGTTACTTTTAAAACCTAGAAAGGGGATAAGAAGGCACTGACACTTTAGTAAGATGTGTCCAGGCTCAGGCGCACTCCTGAAAAAAGCCAAATACTCTTCAACAGCAGCACTTACAATTGCCAGTGTCAAGGCACTTCCCCATTCTCAGTAGGAGGTGGTATGTGAATTCTGGAAGTGAGACATGACCCAGAGTCCCCCATCAGATGTGGTGGATATAAAGCCCTGGGATAAAGCACAAAAAATCCTGCTTCCTATCTCCACGGTCAGATTGGTTACGTCCTCCATGTGGTGGTGAACAGCCAGCATGGGATACACATGATTGTTATTTATGGAGTGCTGAACAATCTTTTTTCCGTGAGCACATTTGAGGGCTGCTCAGACATTGGCTAAGATAATAGCAAAGAGATGGAGGAGTCAGCTGAGTTTCCTGTTCCTCTCTGAACAGTACTAGTGTCTGTACTCACTCCCTGTGAAGCTAAGACTCAGTAGCCCACAGGCCTGTCTGTAGCTTGTAGCTTTTTTACTGTTTATTTTTAAAAATGTTGCTATGGTAAAGCTGATTTGTGTTATAGAAAAACACAGTGTGTGTTTCATTTTTATTTTAGATAGTGATCTCAACAAGCTGTTGGCATCCTTAAAAAATCCAGAAAAACAGCCAGTGTGGATTGAAAACTGTAGAAGACAGTTTTGCAAAATCATGAAAGCCAAACCTGATGTCATCAGTGGAACCAGTGAGTATATCTACCCTCCCCCCCAACCCCTCCCCCGGCAATTAGGCACTTGTAAACAACTATTTTTCACATTTTCACTGAGGACTGCATTGCTTTTACTGTATCTAATTATGCATTGACTCTGGTTATGGTTATTTTTTCCCCCTTACTATCAGCAAATTACTGTTTCCCAAGGTTCAGCCAGTACATTTTAGAAAAGGACCAAACAGATAAGAAAAGTTTCATTTCTTTTAACAGCATTGTTTAGGAAGAACAGGGATTGGTATTTTGCTTGTGGTCTCAGGTTACCATTGTCATACATTAACATTCAGATATAAAGGATACCACTTTGTCACACCTTAAAGTAGAACATCAGGGAAAGATGCTGCAACACTGGAAATACTGATGGACTAATGCACTCAGGACCATTTTTATGACTATCACACATGTCATTTTTGGTGTATCCCACAGATACTCAGAAGGAGTTGCTCTGTCTAATATAGAGGCTGACACAGTGGCTACGGCTCTGTTCACTATTTTCAGCTGAGTAGATTTTCCAAAGGAGACCGTGTCAGATTATGGATCAGATTTCATCTCCCAGTTATTTACTAAATTATGGAGAATATGTGGGGTAAAACACTGAGATCTACTCCATATCACCCAGAGACAAGTGGTTCAGTTGAAAGGTTTTTATGGGACTCTAAAAACTCTGCTGGGAATAAATGCAACCAAGAGGGCAAATGGCTGGGATACAGTGTTACCCTATCTGTTATTAGCTTAGCGGGAAGTATCCCAAGAATCCACAACGACTCCCATTTGATATCCTGTGTGAGAAAAAGATCAAAAGTCCCTTGGATTTCATCATAGACTCCTGGCAGGGTGGTACTGAGGTTAAAGGGGGGCCAGTGGCTGAATATGTTCAGAGGTTTTAGTAAAGATTTAAAGTCTGTGATGGACAGCGCTGGCCTTACCATGAGGCGAACTGAGGCGGCCGCCTCAGGTGCCAGACTCTGATGGGGCGCCACTAGGACCCAGAGTGTAGAAAATAGTGTCTGCTGCTGGTGCATATGTATTCTCTCTGCTCTAGATGCACAGAGATGATGTAGTGCTGTGCTGGAGGAAGGAGGGCACAAGAGACATAACAGGCAGGCAGGAGAAAAGGTGAGAGGGAATAACAGAAAGCAGCAGGAGCTGCGGGGAGAGAGAGGAGGAGGAGGAGCCTCTTATGTACCTCTCTAGCACCCACAGGAGCCTGGACTGATTAACACCAGCTTCTCAGGGAGCTTCTTGTTTCCTGCTGCTTCCCTGAACCCAACTGAGG